AAACTGCTCTCAGTCACAGATGCTACCGATCAGAAGTCTGAACAGAAATAGTAAAAATATTCAATAAAATATAAAGTGTTAATATGAAAATAAAATATAACACAAAACATAAACATACATTCTGCTGATTTATGTGTATATACAGTGTCATAATAATAATAATAATAATAATAATAATAATAATGATACCATTTGGTGGGTTTAAGGTGGGTCGATGGGTTTAAGTCTGGACTTTGGTGAGGCCAGTCTACAACCTGGAAACCTGACTGATGATTTTAGGTTTTCCTGAAGAATGTGGAGGTGATCCTCCTCCTTCATTATTACATTTACTTCATGTGAAGCTCCAGTTCCACCGGCACCATAAACAGCCCCAGAGCATGATGCTGCCACCTCCATGCTCGGTGGAAGGTTTGATGTTCTTGGGGTTGAAGGCCTCACCTTCTCTCCTCCAAACATATTTTTGATCATTATGTCCAAATATCTTAATTTTTTGTTTTCCAGAAGCCTTTTCTTTGTCAGAATTTGCTGGGTCAAAAACATACATACAGAAATGCTAATATTTGGTTATTTCTGGTTTCTGTCCACAAGCTTCTGGTTCTGTCTTTGACTCCTGTGGACAGAACTGGTCGTCTTTCTGACCCAGACTTGTTTCTTCATCAGGGTCCACAGTTCTTGATGGGTTTAAGTCAGAACTTTGAGGCAAACAGTCTTCTAGCCTGACTGAACCATTTATTTACCATTTTTCATGTGTTTGGGCTCATTGTCTTGTTGGAACACCAAACTGTGTCCAGATCAACCTTCTGGCTGATGGTTTTAGGCTTTCCTGAAGAATGTGGAGGTGATCCTCCTTCTTCTTTGGCACCGGCACCATAAACAGCCCCAGAGCATGATGCTGCCACCTCCATGCTCGGTGGTAGGTTTGGTGTTTTGGGGTTGAAGGCCTCACCTTCTCTCCTCCAAACATGTTTCTGCTGAACCAGTTTTTGTTCCACAGAACTCTAGAAGGCCTTTTCTCTGTCCATGTGATCAGCAGCAGACTCGAGCTGAGCCTCAGCGTTCTGCTTCTGGAGGAGGAGCTTCCTTCTCGTAGCCTCTCAGCTCATGTATTTGGACAACACACCCTCGTATCCACACAGCTGAGCAGATTGAACCCAGATGTTCTGGCCGTTCTCCACCGTCACGCTGTGAAACGCAGCCCGTGTTCTCTCTGACTCTGTTATCTGTCGATCTGTCTCTGAATGACACTCTTGTTTTTCGGCCACATTTCATTCAGTCTCAGTCAAACTCTGCCACTTCACAGGCGTCACAGCTCTGCTTTTCTTTCCTTCTGTGCTGATTCAGGACTTTACAGCCACATTTCCTACGTTTTCGCTTGTTTCTGATCACACTGCGTCTCTTAAAGCGACAGCATTCTTTCTTAAATTCTGTCCTCGTGTGATGATGATCTGACTTTACCACCATATTCTGAGCGTTGTGATGGAGCTCACGATGATTTAACTGCAGCAAAGAAACGTAGACGACATCACAGCGTCTGATGCGTCCTGTCTCCACGCTGGGCATCATTTATGATTTAGGGTAATTAAAGGCGTTGCTGATGCGTCTCTTTGTGCTGCGAGTGTTGAATAAACTCAGAGGAAAGACGTCCAAACAACTGGAAGCAACAAACTAAAGTCCAGCTCCTGTTAGTTGCTGTTTCTCTGTAAAGTTTTATTTTTCAAGATGTGAGCTGGTCGAACAAAGGTGCATGAACTAGAGTTGTCTTTCTGTGATGGTTTGGACCAGGTCGGCCGTTGCCTCTCTGGCTTTGCAGGCCAGATGTTGTCAGATTGCACTGCAGCTCTGAAAGCAGCTTCTGTTTTGCAGAACTGTCCGATTCGTGGGACATAAATCGGCAGCAGGACGGCGCTTGGTGGCGTTTCATGAACCCGATTGGAAGAAGTAGTTCAGGAAGCTTCTCTCTCCAGGAAGCGATTCTTACCTGATTTGCCGCGGTTCTGCTTTCGGTGAATGAAGCGATGTTTGTTTGTAACTTGTTTGTAAGATGCACAGTGGAGCCCTGGAGTCATGCAAAACCACCACCACCACCCCCCAAAAAAACAATCTGTGTGCAAACAGCTGAGTTCATCTTTTAGCAAATTGAGTATCCGAGTCCCGCTCAGGTGTGATCATTTCACAGCAGCTTGACGTAAAGCCGAACGCCGGCGACAGCAAACAGACGTGAGCCTCTTCTCTCGGCTGCACCATGTTTCCCACTCAGGAGTGACTCTTTAGCTTTTCTGCTCGTATAGACGTGTTTGCAGTCGGATCATTTTCTCACAACAGCAGCAGTGATTTAATGTCTGTGGAGCTAAAACCTTCTTCCTCCAGAAACAAACGAACCAGCTGACGTGTTTTAGCTCAGTCCGTTACACTGGATTCATCCGCCGCTGAAAATAGTCCCCAGTAGATGCACCTTAACTCCCATTTGTGTCACTTCTACTGGACTGTTTAGGAAATAGATTCATGACTTTCATGGCATTTGTCGACGTTAACTGTCCAGGCTTATCCCTTTAAACAAGAGTACACACTTACAATTAACGTTTTCGTAACACAAAACCAATTTGAAGTAAAAACACTAAGTTATACGAGGTGTGATGGATGCAAATTAATGTAGGAAACAGAGAACTGTGCTGCTAATGGCGTAGAAGCTCCATATTTGTTCAATATAGTTGTCTAGATGTATTGTATTCTGTTGTTTTAGGGCTCTTATTGTGGTAAGTTGTCCTCTTCCACCACTGGATTTCATTTAGCCGTCCGTCTCTGTGGCAATCACATCGATCGATAACTGGCCGACTGGTGTGAGCAGCTTTTAACTGGGACAAACCAGGAAGTATTAGCTCGTATTAGCCCACGCTGCGAGGACCCGAGGGTGCTGGGATAGACGGGTGGTGTTGGTACACAGCTACAGTGCAGTTTATAACGTCAGAGCTGTACTTGAACGCATCACGAATGATGATTAATAGTCACATAAATAAGGTTTTAGTTGGGCTTTTCTGGCAATTATGAGTTTTGTTGTAAAGATCTAAATGTGCCCAAAGCAGCGTTGAGGTGTTTTGTTGTGCAGCTAAATCCATGATGTGGATCTCAGTGCAGCTGGTCGAATATTAGACGTGAAGTCGAACATTTGGCGCCATTAAACCAAAACGACGTGGAAATGAGTCTCCAGTTCAACCACAGAAACCGTACTGACCCTTCAACCACCAAAGCTGAAGGTGCAAAACGTTTGGTTTTACAGATTTTCATGCGAGAACAATCGAGAATCGACTATAATAAAACCAAACTGAACTTTCCTGCCAACTCTCCACGTTCATGTGAATTCTCGGTAAAGACAAACGAGCCGTGGTTTGCAGTTTGACTCAACAGCTTCTGCAGTAAAACAAGATTGTCGTTGGAGGGTTCAGACTGTGTTCGTTTGCTCCTCTGGATGTTTAATCCTCTTGTTTCGTGCTGGACAAGTTTTATTCACCAGCAATCCATCACAGCTTCCTGCAGCCTCGTCGTCGGTCTTCCAGGTTTTCATCTAATTCTGTGTTCTGTCACTGAAACGAAGCACTGACGCCAAAGACGGAGAAAGAAACTGGAGCTGTGATGCTTTAATGTGAATATCAACTAGAAAGACAACTAGAAGAAAATAGCGTTATTTTAATGTTGTAAAGAGCTTGTTTTTCAGGAAGACTTGAGTTTCCAGTGACTTTCTGTCATGGAATCACTGAAACACGAGTCTTTGTCACATGAAACAATCAAATAGTTTGATTCTTAATTGATTGAAGGTCTTCTGGGAATCTGAGGGCCAACAATATACATACAACGGGATGTTTTTGGTTTCCATCTACAGCTTCTGGTTGAATCTTTGACAGAATTGGGTCCAGTTAAACTAAAGTTGTTTTTCTGATCCAGACTTGTTTCTTCGTCACAGTCGACGGGTTCTTGATGGGTTTAAGTCTGGACTTTGGTGAGGCCAGTCTAAAACCTGGACAACTGACTGATGATTTTAGCTTTTCCTGAAGAATGTGGAGGTGATCCTCCTCCTACGTTATTACATTTACTTCATGTAAAGCTCCAGTTCCACTGGTAGCAGAACAGCCCCAGAGCATGATGCTGCCACCTCCATGCTTGGTGGTAGGTTTGGTGTTCTTGGGGTTTAAGGCCTCAGAACTTTCCTCCAGAAGGCTTTTTCTGCTGGGTCAATAATATACAAGCACAAATGCTAATATTTGGTTAAACATCATTTGGCCATTTTTGGTTTCTGGTTCTGTCTTTGACTCCTGTGGACAGAACTGGTCGTCTTTCTGACCCAGACTTGTTTCTTCATCAGGGTCCACAGGTTCTTGATGGGTTTAAGTCAGGACTTTGAGGAGACCAGTCTTCTCGCCTGATTGAACCATTTATTTACCATTTTTTTTATATGTTTGGGCTCATTGTCTTGTTGGAACACCCAACTGTGTCCAAGATCATCTGTCTGGCTGATGGTTTTGGGTTTTTCTGAAGAACATGGAGGTGATCCTCCTCCTTCATTGTTCCATTTACGTTTTCCACCGGCACCATAAACAGCCCCAGAGCATGATGCTGCCACCTCCGTGCTTCACAGTGGGTTTGGTGTTTTGGGGGTTAAAGGCCTCACCTTCTCTCCTCCACACAGGTTTTTATCTGAGTCCATGTTGTGTCTCTGACCATGATAATAATGAACCAACAGATTAGCATCCGTCCTTGAAGGCTTCTGTATGTGTGACGTTGTTCCTGTTTCCTTCATTTCCATCATTATTCATCATTCTGCATGAGTTTTATTTCTGTTTGCATTCTTCTGTTTAATTAACAGTCAAACACATTGAAAGGCTGGGAGAGACAGAAGAGGTTGTCGGGAAAAACCTAAACAACAACGACAACGTGTTAAAGGGATTAGACGAGCAGCAGCAGCCTCCACTGTCGCTCTCACGCTCTTATTTATCTCTATCTGTTCACAGGGGACATCACTCAGAAGGGTTATGAGAAGAAGAGGTCCAAGCTGATCAGGGCATATGTTCCTCATGCTGGAGGTAATTTAGCGACCTCTGACCCCAACACACACCAGCTCAGCTCACAGCATCGATCCGCTGTCATGACAAACACAGTCGCAGCCATGATTCAGTGAGTGTAGCTTAGGAGTCCCTGGAGCTCAGCTTGGGCCTGCTCCTCTACGGCACCGCCGCCGGGCCTCCGAAACGTCCAGCCGGGTCGTTTTACGGCAGGTTTTTAGCAGCGGCGGCACACTGAGGGATGTTCTGTCAGACAGCACAGATTCCTGCATTCTTATGGTTCATTTGTGTTAATTATTTTGTGTTGTGAAAGTCAGAAAAATCAGATTTTTCTGCGAGTCATCTCCATGTTTGTGTTCTTCCTTCTTGGCACCGGATCTACTGCTTTTGTCAAACGTGTCTGCGCATATGTGTGTGTGTGTGTGTGTTTGTGTTTGTGTATATAACTGTGTGTGCGTCCTGCCGCTCGCCTGCTGCCTCTCTAGGTATGGAGGGTCCCATGTCCCACCGGGCTCCACTCGGACCTCCGTCTGCCGCCAGGTTCCACCGACGGAGAACCTCCGGCACCAGAGACGAGCGCTACCGATCAGGTACGGCACAGTTTACGGTTTAATTCATCCAAACTGAGATCGCAAGAAGTTTGTTTGTGGGAATTTTCAGTGACGTAAGTTTTAAATGCGGTGCAGAAAAATGAGTTAATACGGCAAAAATAAAACGTTAATGCTTCAGTTTGAGTCAATATTACAGTAAAAGTTGTTTTTCTTTCTTCAGTTTGCAATAAAATGTCAGTTAATTTCTTATCTGCAGCTTTTCTGTATTTTTTAAATACAGGGAAATATCAATAAAATTAAAAAAAAAACAGTCTGTGAATTAAAAAGCTGTAACTCTGATATCTGTACAATTTCCTTTTTCAATTTTTTTAACACAAATTTGTCAGAATGTGAGGATTTTTTTAAATTAATATATTTCATTGTATATGTTTTATTTTATTTCATAGATTTTCACATTTTTTTATAATACTGTAGCGATTAAAATAGAAGTTTAGAATTTTAAAAAAAAGTTAAAATACTTCAAAATGTCGTTAAAAATATTGTCAACACAATACTAAAAACCTCTGACTGAATAACAATAAAATAATTTAAGAAATATTTATTGTTTATTTAACAGGTGAAACTGTTAAATTCAAGTTTAACATATTTCTGAAATTAGACACAATTAGTGGCAATTCACAGAAAATATTATTATAATTATTTTTATTTTATTTTTAGTTTTAATTTAGTCAGTCTCTATTAATTTGTAAATTTCTCACTAGCAGTTTTTCTGTATTTTTGAAATACAGGAAAATATTAATTAAAATTACAAAAAAACTAGTCATACTTCTTGTCTTATGCAAAATAATATTTAAAACCTCTGGCTGAAAATAACTATAAAATGATCTAAGAAATATTTCTCCTTTATTTTAACAGGTGAAACTGTTAAATCCAAGTTTAAAATATTCCTAAAATTAGATAAAATTAGTGACAATTCACAGAAAATGTTCTTTTTTTACTCAGTCTTTATTAATTAGTAAAATTAATAGTTTTCTATATTTTTAAAATGCATGATAATATATCAATAAAATTATAAAATTACAAATTCTAAATAAATAATTTCTAAATAAATAAATGATTAAACAAAAGTTAAATAAAACATTAAGTCATAAATTCATAAGAAGAATCTTTTTTTTTTTTTTTTTTTTGTCAATGGGTGAATTGATCCCACAGATGCTGCTTTTGTTTTTTCTGTTTGCATTAATAAAACTTTAATTTGCAGTCAGACCTAAAAAAAATATATAAAAGAGAAAAATAAGACGTGAGCAGATGTCAGGAGACGGACGTCGCTGGTCACAGGCGGTTCAGATGAAGATTTATGGGGCAGAGTACAGCCGATCATCTCATGAATCGATGCCGTCACGTTCTGCTGCTCTGCTCCTCGTTACTGGAGCCGTTCAGCAGCTCAGTGATGTGACGACGTCCATCAGAAGATCAGCAGCCCTCAAAAAGTCAGGACACATTCAGGAAACATTCAGGACACATTCAGGACTTTAACTTCAGAGAATCTCCCATAAATTAGACAATATTTACATTTTTTTAGATTATTATTTTATTTTTTAATTTCCATTTCAATCTCATAAATTTGTCACTTTAATCTCAGATAATATTTAAGTGAATTTCAGGTTTTGTTTCTTGTGAATTCACCACCGTAATCTGAGAGAATATTGGATTTATTTTTGGTAAATTTACCGCCTTAATCTTAGAGAATATCCAAGTTGGTTTCTTGTATATTTACTACCTTAATGTAGGAGAATTTCAGGTTTTCTTCTTGTACTTTTGTCACCTTGCACTCAGAAATATATCCAAGGGTTGTTTAGAATTTATGCCTCGTACATTTTCCACCTTAATCTGCAAGAATATCAAGTTTGTTCATAATTTCCCCTAAATTTCCAACTTTAATCTTGCATAATATCCGTATTATTTCTCATAAATTTGTGCTTTCTTTCTTGTGAATTTCTGAATTTTTAAAACGTATTGACTTTAATCTCAGAGATTGTCTGAGTTTATGTTGCATAAATTTACTATTTTATTGCTTCTAAATGTACGACTTTAATCTCAGAGGATGTCCTTGTTTTTATTTTGTAGTTTTACTGTGAAATTCCCGCCTTAATCTCAGAGAATATTTGATGTTATTTCTCTTTAATTTGCCACCTTATCCTCATTTTTTCACATAAATCTATGAGTATTTAATCTGGGACGTCCTCCTTCAGCTGTTTAATTTCTTTAACTGAACAACATCTTGATATTTTGTTGTTAATTCTCAAGAAAAAACGATTAAATCAGAGTCTGGAGCTGAGGATCCAAGTTAAAAGTCCTCGTAGATCAATCAGAGGTTGGCTGATGTTTAATCCTCGCTGCCGTTCTTCAGTCTTCATCTCTTTACGTTGGTTTGGACTCAGACCGACTCTAACTTTGTGTGGATGAACCTCTCCTCCCGCCAGACGTCCACACCGAGGCGGTTCAGGCCGTGCTGGCGCGACACGTGGAGAGGAAGGTGGCCGTGCCGATGCCCTCGAAGCGCCGCTCGCTGGTGGTCCAGACCTCCATGGACGCCTACACGCCTCCAGGTGACGACAAACGCTCACAAACACACACCATTCAAACTGTGGAGCTCATTTTGTTTGATGAATCAGTTAAACTCTCAGGTCAGCTCCATAAAAGGCATATAAAAATCTTCTACCAGTGACTTTAGGAGAACTGATTGTAAACGTGAAGCCTGGAGACTCCAGCAGCTCTCTGAAGCCTGGAGTCTGACCCTGGAGAGCCGCCCAGACAGGATTACGCTTTTAATGTTCTCAGGCGCCAAAAAACTGCAAAGACGCACATTTTCCGCGGCGTGAAAAATCCCACAGTGAAAACAAACCGCAGACTGAAGCAGCGCTGAGCGGCTGAGGCTGACCTTCACCTCCGACTGGAGCTCGGCAGCCTGAGTCTGATCAGAGCTGAAGCACGAGTCTGACGCTGATTGAATTCTAATGAAGGAAACGGAACGACGTCACTTTTCAACCTCTGAGGGGATCTTAAGCGACACCGACGTCCCCCAAAGACCCGAGAAGATCCACGTTTTGGGCTTTTAAAGATATGATTTAGTTGTTTTTTTTTTTATATCATAGATAATAACCTTATTTTTAAAAATAAAATTGTGACTCTTATCAGCTTCAATAATCAAACAAACACTTTGCTGGGTCGTTTATTTCAGCGCAGTGGGGAGAGAGAGCGTTTCAGTCCTGAGCAGAACCAGAATAAAAGCTGATTAATGACGTTAGAATGAGCCCAAAACTCACCGCAAATAAGGTTTATGCATCAGAAACGCCACACTGCTCAGATTAAAACACGTCTCATAGATGCTAACCGACCAGGAAGCGGCTCCAGGCCGAAGCTCCAAACCTGAGAAAGACCTGCAGCTCCGCCAGAAAACAACAAACAACCTGCAGCTCCACCAGAAAACAACAAACAACCTGCAGCTCCACCAGAAAACAACAAACAACCTGCATCTCCGTCAGCATTCAGTCAAAACAAACAAACATGTCGGCGATCGATCAGTTGGTGATAAACACATGAATAAATGATAACCAGAGAGCTAGCCTTAGATTTTTACTTTAGTTGGAGTTCATGAAGCCAACTGTAGCTGGAATCAGAACAACATGCTGCTTTGTTTTATATATAAACAGAGTTACAGTCGAGTTAATTTGGCTTTTTGGACAAAAAATGTACAAAAAAAACACTAAAACTAAAGACTGAAGGCAACAACGAGACATAAAACAACACAAATGAGACACAAAACGACACGAAAAAGACACAAAATGAGACAAAACGTGAAAAATGAGACAAAAAAGAGTAAAAAAAAGTCCCTCTTGGAAGTTTCCTCCTTTTATTGCTTCTATAGAATGAAATCATGGTTAATTTAATTTGGCTTTTTTGACAAGAATTAACCCCAAAAAGACTTTAAAATGATGCCGATTAATTAAAAATATAAAATGCAAAATATGCTGCCTCAATTTTAAATGTGGATATTTATACAGATGTATGTGAAATCTTTTTATGTGCAGTTACATTTGCGTCTCTTTACAAAATCCCGTGAACTATTAAAGATTAAAAAACGTTTTTTTCATGTTATTTCTCATCATGAGGTTGATTCTGAATCTGAATTACTGGACAAGCAGCTCAACGTTTTACATTTTTAATTAACTGACGTCACTTTGTAGAAATCTGTTTTCACTTTGACATGAAAGAGTCTTTTTTTGAAAATTCTTGTGTAAATTAAATCGACCATGATTCAGTGTTGAAATGTAATTACAGTCTGGCTCACAGAAGACTTCAACGCAGATATTACACAAACTAACATCAAAAACAAATAATAAACAAGTATAAAGTCAGACCTTCGCCATAAACGGACATAAAGTTCTGTATTTGTTATGACCGATCCAGATAACATAGAGATAGTAGATATATATATATATATAGTGTAATATATAATATAGTAGGATATTGTCGTGTCAACAAAACGAGGCAGCAGACATACGTCCTGTTTACAGTTAGAATAACTATTAGAACTGCTGATTTTGAACATTTGCTTATGGCTAAATATGTGTGATGTATAAATGTGGCTCATTAGCTAGAATTTGTTTGATTGATGTTTTCTTGATATAAATACTTTCTACTACAGCGTAACTTAAACCTGTGAACATTTATATTGTTGGATTGTCACATGAGTACGTTTGTTCTCTTTCTAGCTGAGATAGATAAGAAGACTGATACCACTCTGTTTGTGTGGTAAATGTTAAATAGAAGGTTAGCTTAGCATAAAGCTAATATGAAAACTAATCTACCAGCACCTCTAATGCTAATGAATTAGCACATTTTTTGTTTAACCAAATAGACAGTTAGCATAGCATGAAGCTAATGGAAAACCAACCTAGCAGCACTCTGATGCTCACAAATTAGTACGTTATTTGTTCAACCAAATAGACAGCTAGCTTAGCATGAAGCTTATAGCACAACAACCTACCAGCACATCAGACGCTCACAAATTAGCACATTTTGTTTCACAGACTACCCAGTTAGCTTGGCATGAAGCTAACAGGAAACTAACCTAGCAGCACCTCTAATGCTAATAAATTAGCACATTATTTTTTTAGCCAAATAGACAGTTAGCCTAGCGTGAAGCTAATAGGAAACCAACCTACTAGTGCCTCTAATGCTAATGAATTAGCATGTTATTGGTTGAACCAAATAGACAGTCAGCATAGCATGAAGCTAATAGGAAACCAGCCTACCAGCGCCTCTAATGCTAATGAATTAGCATCTTATTTGTTTAACCAGTGAGACTTTATAAATACTTTTATTGATCCCTGAAGGAAAATTTCTTACCTTACAGTTGCTCCCATTCAAATTCTTATGCTAAGCTAACTAGCCCTGACCTCTTATCCAACACTCAGCAAGAAAGCAAACGTTCCTTTGATGTTGTATGAAGGTTTCCTGTTTGCCTGCTCATGTGTTTGTGTTTCTGTGATGCTCTGCGGAGGTTTTGCATCAATAATATTAATAATGGCGGCTGCTGACTCTCACCAGGCCTGTCCCCCCTGTGCTCAGACTCGTCGTCGGGCTCCGAGGAGGAGGCGGGGCCAGGCGACGACATGTCGGGCATGGAGCACTGGATGAGCCGGCCCTCGCAGCTCGGCCCCGCCCACCTGGGCTCCACCTCCTCCTCGTCCTCGTCCACGCAGAGCGGCGGCAGCGGGAACGCCGGGCGGCTGGCCGACTCGCTGGCGCACACGCACATCTCGCACCTGGCGCACACGCACCTGGCGCACACGCACCTGGGCCAGTCGCACCACCAGCAGAGCCACCTGTCGCAGTCGCACCACGGTAAGGCCCGGCCCGGCCCACGCAGCCTGGTAGGTAAGGTTCTGATGGGCCGAAGGCTGCTTAGGTAGTAACACCTGCACACTTAGATCACCTGTGTGTCCAGACAAAGGTACGTCACAGATGTTCATCAGCTACTCATCCACTCATTAGTCTATTAATTAAACAATATATATATATATATATGTATATATATATAATTGTAATATAATAATGGTTGTAGAAGTATTAGTGGTAAATAAATAAGATGTAAAAGAGAATGAATTAAACAATAAAATAAAGTTTAAAAAAATCAGTTAGACAATGAAAATAGGTAATAATAATAATAGTAATTTTTTTTTTAAAAAGTACGTAAATAAAGCATAAAAGAGAATAAAATAAAAAATGAAATAAAAGTTTTAAAAAATAATTAAATAATGATAATAATAATAATAATAATAATAGAAATAAATATGTGAATAAATAAAGCATAAAGGAGAATACAGTCAACAGGAAAATAAGTAGTTTAAAAAGTCAATTAGATGATTAAAAATAAACAATAATAAAATAGTAATAGTAAGTAAATTAATAAGTAAATAAATAGTAAAGAAATCAAGCATAAAAGAGAATAAAATAAGAAGTCAAAGGTTTAAAAATATAATTGGACAATAAAAATAGACCATAATGTTATTATTATTATTATTATTATTATTATTATTATTATTATTAATAATAATAGTTAACATTTGATTTTATTTTTTTAAATAATTGCACAATAAAAGCAGATAATAATAATAATAATAATAATAATACTAGACAGCTCAACAGCGCTGTCATTATTGATTAATCCACTGATTGTTTTCTTAATTTAACAACTAATCTCTTTATCTATAAAATGTCTGAAAAGTGCAAAAATTATAGTTGCTCTTGTTCAAGTCTTAGAAATTTAAACAGAAGAAAAACATAAAAATACATCCTAAAATAAAAACAGAAGTATAAGCGTAAAATATAAAAAATTTACATTGTACTTAAAAAGTAAAAATGTAAGTATTCAGTGTAATAAATGATAATTACTGTAGGTAGTGATTTTCTCTGCAGTTACCTGGAAAACATATAGAAATATGTGCATGTGTTGGTGTCGGTAGTTTGATAAAATGAGTTGGAGAACATTTAAAATGTGCAAAAATACAGAAATGGATTATAGATTTCTTCTCAGACAGCATATGTGAGGCTTTATAGATCCAACAATGACAAAAAAAATCTATTTTTATGCACATTTAATTCATAAATACTGTATTTTGACTGTTTATGTTCACACTCTGGCTCACACTTGTTCTCTCCGTCATATCTTCAGCTCCTGTTCTGACACTTTTTCTACGCCGTCGTTTGTTTTCTCAGCTGATTCTTGCAGCTTTTTGTTACTCGTGCACATTTAAATCTGCTGCATGTCCTCGTTAGCAGCTCTGCCGCTGTGCACTCACCGTGTTGTGTTGTGCGTCCAGGTATCGGCCACCTGTCCCTGAAGAGGAAGGGCGCCCTGAGCGTGGCGGAGAACGGCGGGTCTCTGCGGCGATCCTGCGAGTTTGGATCCGACATGCTGTGGCCGCCGCCGCTGGAGTCGGACGGTGGGTCCAGGCCGGAGATTCAGTTAGAACGAACAGGCACTCAGTGTTTCATTGATTCTGGAGGAGCATTTAATCAGAGATCGATAAGAGATCCGACTTAAGCTGTCGGTTTGATAGCGCGTCTGTGGAAACCTTGTGAAGGTGCTCGCTCTGTTTGGTGATGATTTTATTACACGGTGGAATAAAACGGCTCCGTTTACAGATATTTACAGATACAGGAGCAGGTTTGATTCATCAGTTATCACAATTAACTCATCGGTGTTACAGTTCCACCGGTTCTAGCTTAAAATAAATGAGTTATTCTGTCTCCTGATGCATCTATCTTAATAAATCTGGAGGTTTATTAGCAGATAAACGGCTCAAATTGTGTGATTGTTTCAGAATAAATCGCCTTAATTACACAAAAGCAGCTGCAAAATGCCTCACAAAGACTGTCTCTACAGTAAAGCTTCTCTGCAGTCACTTGTTTCTGTTTTCGCTAAAACTCACCCACAGTAAGCAGCGTTTCATACGGACACCTGAACTCATTATTTCTCCTCTGTGACGGCGAACACAAAGACGTTTCTGCTCCTGGAGGCTCATTACGACTGATTTAACTCTCTTTACTGTCCGTGCAGCAACACCTTTCTCACGATGAACCCACCGGTCTGCGTCGTTACCTTCAGCAAAGGTCCCACATTTGAGCCGTTTAATAAAAGTCTCACACGTCCAAACAGTTTCTCTCAGATTTTCAGCCCAAGATACCACAAAGGTTGACTGTGTGACTCCTGATTTTAGTCCCGCTCAGATCGAGGCTCTCTCTGCTCGAGCTAGATCGGATAGTTAGGGGTTGAACTGGCTTCCATCTTAAACTTTCACATTTAGAACAACCATAAAACACAACAAGAAGGATTTTCACTGTGTGGGACCTTTAAGGAGGTGTGCAGTCAGACTGTGTGCTTTTATTTTTGCAGGTACAGTCGTGACTCGATAATCGACCCTTAACAATCCTAAACCTTAAAGCTATCTGACAGGTTTTTAGAAAAAACCAACAGAACCCATAAAAACAGCCTGAACACACCGACAGACTTGGATTGTGACTCCGACATGACATTTAATGTCACCAATCAGGATGACGGCGTATTATCTGACTGAACAATCCCACAGATTGGCTACGTTCACACTGCAGGACTT